AAAGGAACGCAAGTGTACATGAAAAAAATCTTTGCATTTGAGTATCTTGCTGTATAAGGAGTTTAACTCTGACTGTACAAGATTCTTCCTTCAAAAAAGTTTACGGTGGTACCATCAGCATAGTATCTTGCCATTTCTGATAGATATCTATATTTGCACACATAAAATAGCCTTCCCCAGTCTTAGAAATGAATGTTTAACTCATGTTTATACTTTAAAAAAGTGCACCTCTAAGAGTGAAGCAAATCGAGTCTGTCCAAAGACTGACTTCCCATACATGAAGAAGCTACAGTAAGCACCACACCGTCTTCTGCCCCACCCTTTGCAAGATATGACTGCTTGTGCAGCTGAGGCAGCAGAAACAAAAATGTGCTCATGCTAGAGTCCACGAAGGTCACAATCCAGAGCACTAGGGGAGAACCACCTCCATCTGGATTGAAGATATCACACTAGGCTGCTCTGGAACATTAGAGACTCAGGTACACATTCCCTTCTGACTCTCAGCTGCAGCAATGTTCACCTCTGGCAAACACGCAGGCAAAACAAACAGGAGCCATAATGGCCTCAGCCACCACAGATTCTCTGGCGCTCATCTGTGAAAGTCCTGACTTAGAGGCAAGCTCTTTATAGACTTCAGAATGAATCAACACATTTTGTGGGCTACTCTTATCTACCTCATCTGGCTGGGGGGACAGCAAGCCCCAGATTCTGACCCCACATCTGATGTGGTTCAATACTCCTCTAAACTAGTGGTTGCAAAACACGTCAGCTGGGCGCCAGCTGGAGACTCCCCCATGGCAACTGAACGCATAGGTGGGTGGATCTGGTGGCATTCCAGGACTTCTCACACTTCACATCTGCAGTAGGGATACACTGAGTCACAGAATCTGTCTTTTGGTTTCTCACTCAAGGTAAGCAGGTCTCTTTTACAGGGCACCTGTAATTTAAAACAAGCAGTTTCCTTCGAAGTGCAGAATATTTTCAGGCTGCAGAAAGAGCTGCAGATTTGATTTTGTAAAAAACCGATTGCAGGTACAGCAGTTTGTTTCAGAAGGAGAGAAGCAGTATTTATGTGTAGTATTAGGACAGTTTTGACCAGCTACAATCACAAGAAAAACACATGGTTTCTTTGGATAATGACATTTGCCCACGCTTTCTAATCATTACTGCAAGCTACAAGACCAGTATTGTTTTGGTGTATTTCTCATTTTCATTTTAAATTTCTTTGCAGCATCAGTATTCAGAAGTTGTAACTTTCACAGATTTTAAACACTCAATTGCATTTCTAATGCAGACCAAAAGTATATTTGCAAATTTCTAGCATAATTTTTAAAAAATCTAATTCTATAGTTTTGATTTGGTTTTATAGTAAGCATGTATAAAATACCCTTTTTATTTTATTAATAATCCTACAACATTTAGTCCATCCTCCAAAGGCAAGATAACTAACAACAACAAAGAAAAGGAAGTCAGGTAGGAACACCAGGAGGCCTACTTGGATGAACAAGGAGCTCCTGGACCAACTCGGACACAAAAAGAAGGCCTACAGAGGATGGAAGCAAGGACAGGTAGCCTGGGAAGAATACAGAGAAATTGTCCGAGCAATCAGAGATCAGGTTAGGAAAGCCAAAGCCCTGATAAGAGTTAAATTTAGCCAGCGACATCAAGGGCAACAAGAAAAACTTCTACAGATATGTCAGTGATAAAAAGAGATCTAGGGAAAATGTTGGCCCTCTCCGGAAGGAAATGGAGGATCTGGCTACCCAGGATATGGAGAAGGCTGAGGTTCACAATGACTTCTTTGCCTCAGTCTTCACTGGCAAGAGCTGCAGCTGCACAGCCCAAGTCACAGAAGACAAAGGCAGAGACTGTCAGAATGAAGAACTGCCCACTGTAGGAGAAGATCAGGTTCAAGACCATCTAAAGAACCTGAGGGTGGACAAGTCCATGGGACCTGAGGAGGTGCATCCGCAGGTCCTGAGGGAACTGGCGGATGAGTTGCTAAGCCACTATCCATCATATCTGAAAAGTTGTGTCAGTTTGGTGAACTTCCCAATGACTGGAAAAGGGGAAACATAGCCCCCATTTTTAAAAAGGGGAAAAAAGACGACCCAGGGAACAACAGGCCAGTCAGTCTCACCTCCGTACCCGGCAAGATCATGGAGCAGATCCTCCTGGCGACTATGCTAAGGCACATAGAAAATAAGGAGGTGATTGGTGACAGCCAACATGGCTTCACTAAGGGCAAATCCTGCCTGTCTAATTTGATGGCCTTCTATGATGAGGTTACAGCATTGATGGATAAGGGAAGAGCAACTGACATCGTCTACCTGGACTTGTCCAAAGCATTTGATGCTGTCCCACACGACACCCTTGTCTCTAAACTGGAGAGGCATGGAATTAACGGATGGACCACTCAGTGGATAAGGAATTGGCTGGATGGTCGCACTCAAAGTGTTGTGGTCAATGGTTCAACATCCAAGTGGAGGCCAATGATGAGTGGTGTTCCTCAGGGGTCAGTACTGGGACCAGTGCTGTTTAACATCTTTCTTGGCGACATGGACAGTGGGATCAAGCGCACCCTCAGCAAGTTTTCTGATGACACCAAGTTGTGTGGTGTTGTGGACACGCTGGAGGGAAGGGATGCCATCCAGAGGGACCTTGACAGGCTGGAGAGATGGGCCTGTGAGAACCTCATGAAGTTCAACAAGGCCAAGTGCAAGGTCCTGCATGTGGGTCAGGGCAATCCCAAGCACAAGTACAGGTTGGGTGGAGAATGGATTGAGAGCAGCCCTGAGGAGAAGGACTTGGGAGTGCTGGTGGATGAGAAGCTCAACATGAGCCGGCAATGTGCGCTTGCAGCCCAGAAAGCCAACGGTATCCTGGGCTGCATCAAAAGAAGCGTGGCCAGCAGGTCGAGGGAGGTGATTCTGCCCCTCTGCTCTGCTCTTGAGAGACCCCACCTGGAACACTGCATTCAGCTCTGGAGTCCCCAACATGAGAAGGACATGGAGCTGCTGGAGCAGGTCCAGAGGAGGGCCACGCAGATGATCAGAGGGCTGCAGCACCTCTGCTATGAAGACAGGCTGAGACAGTTGGGGCCGTTCAGCCTGGAGAAGAGAACGCTCCGGTGTGATCTTATTCCAGCCTTCCAGTACTTAAAGGGGGCCTACAGGAAAGCTGGAGAGGGACTTTTCCAAGGGTATGTAGTGATAGGACAAGGGGCAATGGCTTTAATCTGAAAGAGGGTAGTTTTTGATTAGATATAAGGAAGAAATTTTTCACTGAGGACGATGAGGCAGTGGAACAGGTTGCCCAGAGCAGCTGTGGATGCCTCATCCCTGGCGATCAAGGCCAGGTTGGATGAGGCTTTGGGCAACCTGGTGTAGTGGAGGGTGTCCCTGCCCACAGCAGGGTGTTGGAACTAGATGATCTTTGAGGTCCCTTCCAACCCTAACCATTCTATGATTCTATGATAAATCTACACTGAAACAGAGTAAAAAAATGTTATTCTTACAGCAGGGTTCTAGAAACAGAGGAACTTGCAAGTGATTTACCATTTTCACGTGACACAAGATAAAACCTTGCATTTAGTACAAATTCATTAGATTTTTCAGGTTATGGTATTGTATACTATTGCTTTAATTATTTAAGCTATTAATATTTGTATAGTGGTCTAAAAGCCTCTACATAGTTCAGCACCACAAATATAAATGTTTGCATTATTATTATAAAGCAGTCAAAAGTTACCAATTCTTAGTTTTCTTTAAATTACATGCTACACAAAATACTACAGCATATGACCTTTAAGCAAACATGATTAGCAAATTTAGCAATTCAAAGAACACATCAGATAAAGCTAAGTGTACAAGAAATTAAAAACAGCTTCAAATGTTTTTGAGCACTAATAATGAAGAGATTAGAAGGTATATAGTACAGTAAAAAATCAGAGGAAAAAATAAAGCCCATAAAAATTTAGCACAGGTATACCTAAGCAGGTTTACAAAATAGAAATAAAACTGCAGTGTACTATCCTCAAAGCTTTCTTCTGCATCTCAAATATCCTAATTAACCAAAATGGCTGACAGCACAGTATCTTCTGTTCAGTGTCATCAGATATTCCCATTCGTGCACTACAGGAAGTATACGCAAAAGAAATAATGGCTTTCTGATACTACGTCAACACAATTATCAGCAACAGCAAGAAAACAGACACAGTCAGGGACAACAAACTATGGCAACTATGAAAAGAAAAAATTTAAAAAGTGACACGTGAGAGGAAAGGTAAGGAGGAAGGAATCGAGGAATTTCTGTAAATAAGCTATAGCATTGAACTATTCAGTAATAGCTCTTTTGTCTTCAGACAAGTATTTAGGAGGGTAGCTATTATTTCTAGATAATCTTCCTTAAATTAACTCTCGCTATTTACAGTCCTAATTCTGCAGAGGATCAAAGCATTCGGATTCACAAAGTTCTCTGGAAATCAACAGAGTATGATCTGGACATAACAACAAAGGCTCAAAAATGTGTTTTCTTTTTGGACTGAAGCCCAATTTTGTAAGGTTGCAAAAGCCTCCTTAGTAAACACACAACATGTACTCTTTGCACCTAGAAATATAGGCAACTCAACAGCTGTGGGAAGGTATGGAATTCTGAAACACCCCAGTCGGATGGAAAAACCACTACTTAACATATGGAGAAATAAGAATCATAAAGCTACAGATGACACAGGGATATTTTCAGGCCAGCATAAAGAGAATTAGGCCAGCAGCTCTCATTAGCACTCATTTCCAACTGTGTGTGAAATCTTCCCATATAACAGACTGTTTTCACTAAAGAAACGATCAAAAGCAGCGAATAACCTTTCTCACATGTTTCGTGTGACAAGGCTTATGGACTGTGTTTAACTTAATCCATTAGAGACATTTAAGAATTCATGTATTTTCGATAAGCAGCCGCATACACATATATGATGTAGTAAATTCAGAAGAAACACTTACTGGGTATTCTTTTTGGAGGGATGGAAGGACAGGTTCAGGTAGGGCTACAAAAAAAAAAAATTAAAGTTGCTATGATTCATGTAATTCACAGGAAATAATACCATATCAACTATGTCAAAGGTTGGACAGAAATTCCATCTTAAAAACATCTATCAAGAACTTGATTTTCATGCATTTTGTAAAATAAAAGTTATTCAGCAAACCTTTCCATTATTATATTTTGTACATAGTAGTATAGGGAGTTAATTCAGCTAAGAGAAGCTATTACTAAGATATTACTATTTGTAGAAGATATGAAAAATTCTACAGCAGCTGGATATGACTTGAGTTTTAAAATTCGTGTCAATTCATGGCTATAAGAAACTCATCTAGATTGCCTAAAGGAAAAATCAGAGCTTCACTCATTTTTTTCTCCTACATCTAATACAATATGATCCTCTCACAGCACAGGAAGTCTCCAGATACTGCAGAAGTACACATTCTTCAGTTGCACAGTATTACACATACTGAATCTCCAAAAGTAACTTAAAGATAAAATGCCTACCACACTTAGTAGGCATTGCTAGCAAAATCCTCCTAAAATACTCTAATGCTGTTAAGCGGTCTACTACATGGCAAACAGGTTATAAAGATTATGTAGACATTAACAATACTAGCAAACACAAAATGAACTAAACAATTCTAACTTTTACGAAAGTCATGGATTGGGAGAGCATCTATTGTACAATACAAATAACAGGAAAAAAACTATCTCCCAGGCTAGGTAGTCCTACAGATAGAAAGAAAATCCCAAAGCATTCACATCCCACTCAAACTTAGAGCAGCTACAGAACTGTTAAAGCACTCCTCCTACTAAACCTTTAATGTCATGTCTTCAGCATGGTTTTTTTTTTTTAAACAACCAGTCTACATCATTCCCTAGAGAGAATTATATTTAAGTTCAGCACACAGGACTTTGACTTGGGACTTAGTTGACCCTTCAGACAAGGTCTCTCAGGGTATAAGATGTTACAGAATCCTTTTTCCATAGGGATTAAGACTCAGAACACCAGAATTCTCAGAACATGCTTGGGATATCTTCAAAGAGTATACTATATTAATTAGCAGGACTGCTAAGAATATGATCACAGCTGTTTTAATAATATTTGTATTTTGTTTGTAGGTGTTTAGAAATATGCAAGAGCATCATATTTCTGCAACATCTTGGATAATTTCCAGTTCTCTGCCTCACTAAAATAAAAGGCAACAAAATGTGAACAATGCAAGCAATCAAGATATCTAATCTGGGTCTGTATGCTATACTAAGAGGATGGAGTTAAAGGGAAAAGTTACCACTTACTATTAGCATTTGCCACAGGAGTTTTGTTTTTCTTACTGTACAAGATAGCTGCACGTGTTACCTGGAGGAAAGTTCATGTACGAGACACTGATGTACCTACAAAATAAACTCCAGCCACCCTAACCTTACATCCACACGAGTATAAGAATATGGAAATGGATTAAGAGGTAAAGGAAAGAAATTTGCCTAGTGAAGACAGGGACACTATTTACTGAAAAAAAAGCTTTTTTTTTTGTTTTTTTTTCCCCCATTCCCAATAACATCAACAAAATCTCTATTAAAAATTCTATGACAAGTACACAAGCTACTTTCAGTAGCATCACATGTAAGTAATAGAAATAAAAAAATTAAAAAAAGGTTAAAATCTGCACACATAAAACATCAGAATCTAAACAGCTGGAGCCAGATACATGTCCAGAGCCACACGTCAGCCTTTTTTATCAGAAAAGGCTGATGAAGCACAGGTAAAAGGCTCTTCTTTGGCTTGCAGACTGCTGATCCTCCCCAGGCAGCTGACTGATCACAATTTTGCATGAAACTGATTACCTGAACTCTTTTTTCCCTTTCCTAGACAGCTGTGGAGCTGCCACAGATGACTACAGCAAATGCCCATGATCATGCTTGCAGGGTTGTTAACATTCTGGCAAGCTTACACATTTATACTTCCTTGCAACTCCTACTCTCTTCCCTTTTGTGCATTACTTTTACTCACAGCTCAGTAATTGGCTATTCATGACTGCACAGAGCACCCAACACAAGTCTCCAGAGTAAATGCAATACAAAGAAAATAGATTTGGAGAACAAATTTCCAAGTGAAAAGGTCTGTTTCCATTAAAAGTGTAATACTATCAAATGCTTATCAAGTCACTGTTAAGATGGTCACTAACTGCTAGACTATGTAAAGATACTTTTTCTCCTCTCCTGCTTGTGCTTCACCTTTGCATAGCAATCTCGTAGTACTACATGCAGTAGTTCTCAACATTTTCAATCCTGTATCTAATAATCACTTTGTCATTTTTAAGTTTATTGTCATTTCATCTCCTCCAAATCAATATTTTCGGTTTGATTGATTTTTTTTTTTTCCCCTGGTGTGTATTAAGGATCTACATTGAAGTAATCAGTCACATACAGTGTGGTTTCAGAGCTGTGACAACAGACTTGGCCACACTTTCTTTTCTTTCCACAGAAACAAAGAAATCTATGGAATTCTATGATAGCAGACGTAGAGAAAAACAACATAGTCACTGGACAGACATGCTTACATACTACTGTCCTCATGACTGATACATTAACAAGCACACAGTATGGGCATCAAAGAATTCCGAGGTAACCCAGCCAACTGGATCCCAAATACACAGAACGCCCTCCTAGGTCCTCTGCTACAGACATTGTTCAGCTGAAAGAAAGTCACCGGCTTGAGTCAACTACCATAAAAAGCTTTCCATCCTAGAACGGAGTAGGTGTAGCACGATCCTGAAATTAGTAAATAGTCAGCTACCCACTCCACAGCAAGTATCTATGTTCCAGGGCAAATAAGATCTTAGAGGAGCTAAACATTGTTTCTACCTGATTTAAAAATAAATTAAAACTTACACAAACTGACAAAGGGGAAAAGTCTAAAAGAATTAAAGGTGAATTGAGGAGAATGAATACAAGCAGCAAAATACAAAGCCTATACATGAACTGATAGGAATTAAGAAAATACTCCTGTAGGCATGTTACTCCACAAGACGTACACTTCAGGGGTTCCTTGCCTTCCTTTCTGAAGCCACTTAACGCCCAATAAAGAACTAACAAACTCATACTGAGCTAATTGATTTCTTAAATGATGATAATCCTTAACTCTTAAGCAAGAATTGCAAACTGCAAAACCCACAAACATGGAATTCCTCTACTGAAAGAAAGAAAAAGGAGGGATAAGCTTATTTCAATCTATTCCTCAAAAACATCTCTGGGCTGCATGGGTTTCTTGAATTCTCAACAGCAATCCTTAGTTTCTCAGTTAAAGCTCTCAGGCTCCATAGAGATGTTCAATGTGTAAACATATTGAAGTGAACAAGAAAAGATACTGCCACTGGCAGCCAAATATCTCAACTCCCAACTTCTAATGGTCTTCGACATCTGTCACATCACAGGAGACAGTCATCAGTGAAAAAATATAACTACATGGTAGTACATTCTTGCATATACACATCCCCCACGTTCAGTCCTTCGCTCACCAGGAGACACAAAAATGACCCCACAGCATTCCTTGTCCCTTTGAATTTTCTTGGAAGTTCCCAAATAGAAAAAAACAACCAAAACCCTACAACCCCAAACCCACTGAAAATTGTTATATTTTGGTTTCTCCCCTTGTTAAAAGGCAAATTCTGTTAACTAGAGCTTATTTCCCCTTTGTAAAAAGGCAGATTTTTGTTAACTAGTGCTTGAGTTTATTTTATAGTTACACGGTGTCCTGCAGGTACATTGATTTCTTTTTTTTTTTTTTTTAACGTTTTTAAAGCTGGTAAGTCTGCCTCCAGAGAAGAGGTCCACTTGACTTCTTAAAGAAAAATTCAGCACTAAGGAAATGGAGGAAACACGCTTTATTTTCTCATTTTTCTGTATGGAAGATGACTCCTGCTGGTATATAATTTTATTAAAGAGGAAAATACACAAATATGAACTTAAAAGGGACAGTTTCAGCACATTAAAAAAAAATACTTACTCTGTAAATAGTGCAAAACCATTAATACCAGACTGTAGCTGTTCAAAGTACCACGACTGGCATCATTTATGTCATGAAATCTCGCCCACTTCTTAATGACAAGTACTAATGGACAAACTCGATTCTCAACTGCAAATAAAACAAACGCATCTCAAATAAAGCATATTTAACTAGACAGCAATCAATAAACGTTTGTTCCTGCTTGATCAACATGATAATCTTGTATTCTAAGGTTACCTTTTGCAACTATTTAATGGAATTTACTTAGTTATTCTACAACTACTACTCATCTTATAAAAATCAGAAAAAAATATTTGCATTTGAAATGTCTTTTTCAGTATTAAGATCCACAGACACACTACAAGGGGTATGCCAGGTAACTTGCAGATAAGACAAAACTGGATGCATCAGTCAACGTAGCAGTGCCACACTCTTCAGTTCTCTCCAGTTCGTTGCACTGATTTTCTTTAACTTAACTTGCTGCCAGGATGGACTACATTTATTTTTTTTCCAGGTTATATAAACTTTGAGGGCAGGGAAAAAGTTCTCCTGGTTGGAGGACACAGAGCTGATTCTTCAGTTTTCCTCAGGATCCATGAAAGCAGTAACCTCTGCATACAAACATTAATTTTAAATTTGCCTTGTCCTCAATAGCTTTTTATGTAGATGAGACACCGTAACTCATTATATCAAGACATATGATTTTCATGGGGAAAAACATAAATACAGTCATATTCCAGGTACGATCTTCTGAATTTCTGGGCAATATGGATAGCCTTCTAATTAAGGTAGTAATCTATCCTAGGGAGATGTCACTCACCACCACTTCCTAGCAACCCTTAATTTATTAGTTGCAGATATGTGGAAGTGGATCATCAGTTCAGCCAAGGGCCTTATGATGGCCTTACTTTGCCTTGTATGTTCTGGAGCATCTTTTCTAACCTGACAACATTGTGCAAAGTTTTGTGTTGTCCACATCAGAATAGGAATATATCAATAGGGAATCACTTCATTGAGGACAACAAAGATCCTCCAACAGCACCAGTTGGGGTACTCTCTGTTATTCTGAAAATCCTATCAAGCACATGATTTTCTCACAACCTGCTCACAGTGGTTCAGCACACATGTCCCCTAAGTGGTACTCTTTTTCTCAGCATGAATGTCCTAGATCTGGAAGACCTCTTAGAAACAAGAAAACTCCTAACCGTCACTGCATTCCTGACATTATTCACCAGGCTGAACTAAAAAAATATGACTATTAGTACACTAGCTGCTAGAGCAGAAGAACTACTGTACAGACATCATATGAACATGCATTAACTAAAATAGGATTTTTCCATGAAACAGGACTCTCTGTGTGTGCGTGTACGTGTCACAGTAGAAAAGATCTCTTTTTAGTTGACTTTATTCTGAGATGAGGTTTTCTGTCTGCTACTGTCTGTAATTAGTATATAACAAAGTTAACGTGCAACATGGTGTCATGGTTTGGGCTGGGATAGAGTTAATTTTCTTCCTAGTAACTGGCGCTGTGTTTTGGATTTAGTATAACAATAATGTTGATAACAGACTGATGTTTTAGTTGTTGTGTAGAGCTTATACTAAGTAAAGGACTTTTCAGCTTCCCATGCTCTGCCAACACAGAGGTGCATAAGAAGCAGAGAGGGAACGCAGCCGGGACAGCTGACCTCAACTGACCAAAGGGATATTCCATACCATATGACAGCATGCTTAGCATATAAATATGGGGGGAGAAGAAGGAAGAAGAGGATGTTCAGAATGATGGCGTTTGTCTTCCCAAGTAACTGTTACATGTGATGGAGCCCTGCTTTCCTGAAGGTGGCTGAACACCTGCCTGTTGATGGGAAGTAGTGAACGTATTGCTTGGTTTGCTTTGCCTGCACACAGGGCTTTTGCTTTACCAATTAAGCTGTCTTCATCTGACTTTTACTTTTCTCACTTTTACTTTTCTGATTCTTTCCCTGTTCCCACCAAGGGAAAGTGAGTGAATAGCTGTGTGAGGCTTAGTTACAGCTGGGGTTAATCTATGACACACAGCCAGTAAACTTTTCCTCTGCCATCAGTCAATAAGGTAGCCCCTCAAGAAAATGCTCAGTAATTTCATTTGCTCAAAGGTCCAGCCTCCACTAATTGAAAAATACACACCATTGATTGCTGATTGAATTGCAGACTTGCTTCCTTAAGCAAAGAACTGATAATACAAAAGCACAGACTTCAGTTTCTAGCTCTGCTTAACCTACCTGCATTTTCTGTGGTCGTTCTGCTTCACTTTGCCATATCATTTCTGATGTTTTCTATGGCACTTACGCACCAATATAGAAGGGCTGATATCAAAAAAAGACTCAAAAGCATCCACAGAAATATTTACTAATTTCTTTTTTTTTAAAATCATGCTCAGTAAGATAACCAGTCCCTTGTTTGCTTGAGCATCTAATTCGTTCTGATGGAACAAAGAGACCCATACATCTTCCACATAAAAGGTAATTTGATCTTTTTTTCTCCCATGCAGAGTGAAGTCCTTCAGCCACAAATTTAAGTGAGCAAGCTAATACTTTTAATGCTATCCACCCTGGTTGATACAACTTCTAAAAGTACGTAAAGGGATCATCAGATAAAAGTTTCCATTTACTTTTGTTTGCCTTATGTCACCTGAGATTTTTCTGGTCCAAAGAAGACAAGACAGACTATGCTTCATACAGCAGTTTGCATATTTAAGAAGGTCTAGCACATTGAGTAGATAATATTTTCAATCACAAGTCTCCCTTAGCTACTAAGTCACTCCTTGACTTAGAGAAAATAATGGTATTTATCCTTCATTGGGAGACAAAGTTTATTTTGCTGGCCTTAAAGAAGTGGGCACCAAGGCAGAATGGAAGAAAAGGTGGGACACTAGGACCTCTTCCACTGATCTTTTCACATCTGGACTGTTGTCTGCCCTACAGTGATTTGGTCAGAAGAATAAGGGAAATCTTCGGCAGAAGTTAGGAACAACTATATCAACATCAGACTTAGCGAAGTGATCCCTCACTTCTAGCTGTGAATGACAAATTATTTTCTCTAACCTTTTTAAGCTTGGAAGGAAATTCTTCTCCAGGCATACGCCTTCCTGGATGTATGAAGAAATTAGAGTTAACCAACTCATCCAGGACAAGTTGTAGACTATCCTAGTAGTGTGAATATGGAACACTAAAACTAGTCTGACTGAAATCGTGGTAAAAATTAACTAGTGAAAGTAACTTCTACCGATGACTTCCTACCCTAAACAGAAAAGAATTCGTGTATGCAAGAACTGAAGAAGGTGGTAAAGGAAGAACCACAAATGGCCTAGAAGAATCAGCATGAGGTCCACTCCCTATGTATTTATCTGCCAAATAATATTGTGATGCTAAGTTAGAAAACCTTAGTTTCGCACTAGAAGTGCTGTTCTTACTTCCCCTTCAGAAGTCTGTTTCACAATCTCTCCCTAAAACGCAAACTCCTGAGAAGACACAAACCAGTTTTGTTTTGGGGTTAGTATTTTGGATTTTCCAAGGAAAGATTCTGTAACAGCACACATTCACAGATAGCTATCAGCCACATACACCTGTAAGGAAACAAAAGAAACTGGAGATTATACCATTAGATAATCATTAGTACAACAATCTTGTTATCTGCAGAATAATGAAGCAGCCCTTGTAGCAGATATGTGGACCTTAATATGAAGAATCTTTGGTATCTTCTGAATGTTACAATATTCAGTTAAAAACATACCTAGCTGATATATCGTTTTTCTCCATATATTTGGAGTGAGCAACAAGAAGTTATCTTAAAGCTATCTAATGCAGCTTATTAGGTAACTATATATATACACTAACCTAATACCTTCAACTTAATTTTAATAGTCTATCAATAATAAAACACAAATTTAAAACCCAAAGTTTATATAAATAAGAAAATACGTTAAAAACTTACTGCATGAATAGGTTCTCAGAAGAAATGTATTTCTTATTCCTATAATATTGTTTACATTCAAGTCAAACTCCACACAGCTATTGAGGAGGAGAAAATAAAAAGAATCAAGCATCACAGTATTCAATTTCAGAATACTCATTACCTATTTAGTGATAGAAGTGGAGAAATGTAACTTTAAGATAATACTCTAGAAACTCTTTGAACAGTTTTGATGCTGTGATTTCTACACTGGTTTTGTTTACAGTACTTGAATTGCTTATAGACTTGAATTCCTTTGTTATAAAAATGTAATTGTTTTACATAGAAAATACATGTAGATCCAAATTTAGACCTTAGGACAACTTATATATCAAATAATCAACTTAATATATCAAATATGTTTTGAATTTTTAATGAATCTCTCTCCTAACTAGACTTGCACTGCATGATTTACTATAGACAACTTTTGATGACAGGAAGGATTCTCTGAGGTAGCAGTTTTAGAAATCACGCAAATGAACTGAGAAGAATTGGAAGAGGCTAAAAGGTAAGAATCACTTTTCTGCAATGATGGCCAGAGACAGTCAGCAAGCACTTTGAAGTGAAAACTGTTTACTAGTAAACATTGGATGTTTTGCAATAAAACAGTTATAATAACTGTCTCATGCTGTTAGCAGCAAATAAGAACAGGGCAAACAAGCACTACGTGCTTTATTTATATCACATCCCACCTCAAAGTTTGAATTTCATATTGCATATGGAGCTTAACTACTCATAGTAGTCAAGATATTATATTGTATAAAAATCACTGTTAATAAGCTATAGGAACACTGTAACTTGCAACAAAAAGAGCCTATTATTAAGAAATAAGTAGCTTTCTGCAATGCACAGCTATTTCTATTGTATATGTCCAAGTCTCATTCACGTTGCATTTTTTTGCCTGAATATTGCTTTGGATTTTCCTGAATTATTGTAAAGGGAACATGGACCTGGAATTTATTAAACTGGATAAAACACACTAATTTGATGACTACAAAAGGTTTTTGACATCATTAACGAGGTTAAAACATTATTTGCATCAAAAACATTACATAATTTTAACCCTGAATTAACATCAAGCATGACTTTTCAGATGTTTTAATAGCATACTACATAATAGTACAGGAAATAAACAAGCTTGAGCTACTGCTTGACAGTTGTCAAAATAAACTTAAACATCAGTAGTAATACTAGTGGTAAGTTCAAATACAACAAAGAATCATGTCAGGGGGTATGCGTAATTCCAATTAACCCAATTTGACAGGAATCAAATTTTCAGATGCTGATTAAGCAAGTTCTACTGCAATTATTTTGTACTTTAATATGCACATTAAATAAATGCTGCAATTACGGCAAGTGAAAAAGGTTTTGTACTGTTGGGACTCAAGATCTACCAAAAGCACTAAAGGAGAGGAAAAAAGTCAACTGCACATCAAATGTTGCAGAAGAGGAAGCTTTTGCATCCTCCGTGGTACAGAAATCTTGGTAATTAATGCACGGCTTGTTTGGTAGCAGAGCCAGCATTGGAATTATTTCCTGTGAAAGACTGAAAAAACACAAATTGTAATAAATCTTTAAGTGCAATGCATCTTCTGTTACTGTTAAAGCACTAAAAAACCCTTTAAGATGAAAAAGGAGAACAAACAAGTTGAATGCTTTCTCGTTCACCAAATCAAAGTAAGCAGGAAATGGCAATTTTCAGGTATATGTAGACCATTGGCAACACATTAGAATCCAGATGCAGGGACACCTCCCATTGAATTCTACCATCTTCTTCCAGTAGTCAAGCATCAAGAAACTTGGCTTTCACAGGAAGCTTGTCATGTTTAGTTTCTGGTTTTAGCTAGAACAAGCTTAGTGCCCTGGGTACAGAATCCAATCCACTTTTCAAGACCTCTGTGAAAAACGAATGAGCGTGCGTGTATGTATATATACGATCATATGAAAGACAGAGGCCAATAAGAGACTGGAAAGAGACAGATGCTTAAATAAAAAGACAAAACATGAGTGGAGGTGACAGGTTATGTAAGAGAAAAATAACTGAAAAGAGAGAAAGAAAAATAAAATAAAATTAAAAAAAAATCAACTCAAAGTCATGTCATTCACCTCTGCTCCTCTCTTCCAAAAAAACAACATGGGAAACCAGACGGTGAACAGTACTTTTTTTTTCTCTGAAAAATGTAATGGGCAGCTTCTAGTCTAAGAAGATTATACTTCGATTTAGTAGGAAGTAAAGAATTCTTTAAATCCTGTCTGTATTGTATATGAATATCATTACTGTTACTTTTTTTTGCAGGTGACCATAGTATGGATTATAAATGCCTACACAAAGATGCCAATCTTCTGACATAATCACTTCCATACTTAAGGTTTCTTTTAAAGTTTATTTTCTGATTTTAGATTTGAAAAAAATATTCTTGCTGTGACTCCATGATTTATTCAATATTCGTACCGGGAATGTATCATTTAGTTTATCTAGGAAAAGACTAGCATTGTTATATGTAGTTAAGCCATTTAACCCAAATTTTAGCTTGACAAGTTTAATACTTTCAGAAAGCATGGGAGAAACAATGTTCTGTACTGTTAGAGGAGAAGGTTGCCAGACAAAAACTATTCAAATTTTTAAAAGGCAGAGAAGCATACGAAAGTAAATACAGGATTAGGTGTAAATGATAAAAAATAAAGCAAAAACTGTAACAAGTGTTATATAATCTCAGATGCAAGAAAAGCTAACACGGATGATATTTATTAGTTCAAATTGTAAACAGAAGAGATTCAGTTTTATCACAGTAGGGTTTTTGTCTTGATAAAAAGTATATTGTGATAAAAACACACTGTGATATGCTTTCACAAAGAAAGGCCAGAGAAGTAGGCTTTTTTAAGTTTTTAAAAGACAACAACAGGCTTTCAAAATTTTAGAAGCATATAGGCAGGATAAGATAGATATAAGAGAGTTGTTCAAAGTCCTATTTACAAAGAATAGTCAAGCTATGTTATCTTGTGAAGGCGACACACGTACATCTTAGGAAATCTAAGCCCATCAATATAGGGAGATGTGAAATTACTCAGACTCCCAATCAATTTGAGTGCTTTGCGCAGTGTTTTCCTTTGTTGGATACTTTTATCACACACAGTAAGTACATTGTTCTCTGTCCTAGTACATCCCTCTTGGCTATTCATTTTCATGTCTTCATAATGAAGATACAATGAGAACAATATATACAACACACCCACTTCTCTCCAATTACTTCCCCCTTCTAAAAAAAAGTAATAAAATCAATACCTAACACTGTGCATAGAACATGTAATAGCACTTTGTTAAACACAGAATACCTCCCCAAAACACAGAATATACTCTTCTAAAATGAACAAAATTTTTTAAGTCAAAACAATGTCATCACAAGAAACTAAAGTTTGTTTTAGTGTTGTCTGTATAGTGTAAATGCTGTAAATTAGTCTTTCAGTAGCTCAATGGTTATTTTTGCACAGCAAGCAAAATTATCTTTCACAACAGTTTTCTTCCCACCGTTGTTGTTCTATGATGAACCATTTGCTAACTGGAGTATACTATGTACAAATAACCCATAGAAATACACGATGTACTGCTGCTAATTCACATCACAGAAACCAAACAGCATTTCAACCACAAGAGGTGTTTCAGGTCATCAAGGAAGAAAGATGACTGCCACTGCATGCTAGCTGCACAAACGTGCAATACAACTCCAGTACAACACAAACAAAGCATGACTTCAGTGGGACCCCTCACACGCACAGTAAATACATAGAGTACTTTCCTGCATGAGAGTCTGAAAAATGATGTTAAACAGAAGACTTGCCTGACTTTATCCCTGAACTTCACTATTGGCACTTTCGCTTGAATCAGCTGAGGTCGCTCAATGAAGCTTGCTGAAAGGGAGAAAAACACGCAATTAAGTTTCATGTAAGATGCTGATCTTAAAACAAGATCCTAAAGTGGAGCTATATTGACCGATTTGTCATAGTAGCTTATTAAATTTAGAAAAAAATGTTCTCAGAAGGGTTGTGCTGAACAGCAACTGAAGCAAAAATATGATGTAGAAAAGCGTGTGGGGAAAAAACCCACTAAAATTAGCCAAAAAAATTAGTGGAAGATTTTTCTGTGGGAATTATATTCAAGAAATTCGAACATAAGGAACGCAGTTCTACAATGCTTTCACTGAGCAGTACTTGTAATGGAAATCCCAAACAGTTATAATTAAGGTTCAAAAAGAAGGCAGCAAGAACATATCCATCCAGGATGGCCAGACATTTAAGCTCAGTACTACACTGTAGCAGCAGGCACATGATCAGCTGCACACATTTTAATCCTGTCTAGTTTGCTTGCAATTGAAATTATGCATTTTACTGATCAAAAAATACTAACATAACTGTATCTTCATTATGTGCTGATTATGATTAAAACTTCATTTAAAAACTGTTTATTTGACTGATAAAATACATACCAAGAAATACATTTCCTATCAAATTGTTACCAAAAACAGGAGACCACCGTCCATCAAAGACGGGATAAGCTTTATTTGCCTTTTACTTTAATGGTGATAGGACTTGCAATAAACATACAGTCACAGGACTGTACCTCAGATGACCATCCACACAGTACAGTCACACGGGCTCAATGCCAGCTCATCCAAACTCAAACATACTAAGCTCTGTCAGACTCACATAGCGCCATCAAATGCACTTTGGCACTCAGCTCCCCAAAACCGTTGCATCGGTCATATAATCTGCCATTCCCCTACTCTTGACTGTATCTCGGGCTCTATTTAGTAGTTACCCATAATCCTACATGAGAAATGTGCCCGAGAAAGTAATGGAAAGACAAAGAAAAGCAGAGCCGGTAGGTTACATGATATGAATCTGGGGGAAAAAAAAAGTACGATTTTACTCATTTTTTCTGTTGCAAAATCTATGTTACGTATGTTGCCCACATGTAACACATACATTTTCCCCTTGTTTCTATAAATTAACCTCAAATCAGCATAAATAAGTATGACAAAGCTAAAAGTAATATAGATTAAAAATAACCTTAAATAAAAGCTGATCTTCACTTTTGGGGAAGAATAGAAAAAAAGAGGTATGTCTATCAGTTTGGATAGCAACCTTGACTAAACAGTGTCGTTTCCATTGCATTTGGATCACAGAATCACAGAATGTTAGGGACTGGAAGGGACCTCAAAGGATCATCTAGTCCAATGCCCCTGCTGGAGCAGGACTACCTAGATAAGATCACACAAGAACATGTCCAGGCGGGTTTTGAACATCTCCAGAGAAGGAGACTCCACAACCTCTCTGGGCAGCCTGTTCCAGTGTTCTGTTACCCTTACTGGGAAGAAGTTTTTCCTCATGTTTAAGCAGAACCTCCTATGTTCCAGCTTATATCCATTTCCCCTTGTCCTATCATTGGATGCCACTGAGAAGAGCCTGGCTCCATCCTCATGACAGTCACCCTTTACATATTTACAAACATTAATGAGGTCCCCCCTTAGTCTCCTCTTCTCCAAGCTAAAGAGACCCAGCTCCCTCAGCCTTTCCTCATAAGGGAGATGCTCCATTCCCTTAATCATCTTTGTGGCCCTGTGCTGGACTCTCTCAAGCAGTTCCCTGTCCTTCTTGAACTGAGGGGCCCAGAACTGGACACAATATTCCAGATGCGGCCTCACCAGGGCAGAGTAGAGAGGGAGGAGAACCTCTCTTGACCTACTACACCCCTTCTAATACACCCCAGGATTCCATTGGCCTTCTTGGCCACAAGAGCACATTGCTAGCTCATGGTCATCTGCTGTCCACCAGGACCCCCAGGTCCCTTTACCCTGTGCTGTTCCCAAACAGTTCCCAACTTGTACTGGTACATGGGATTGTTCTTACCCAGGTGCAAGACTCTACACTTGCCCTTGTTGTATTTCATTAAACTTCTCCCCGCCCAACTCTCCCACCTGTCCAGGTCTCCCTGAATGGAGCACAGCCTTCAGGTGTGTCAGCCACTCCTCCCAGTTTAGTGTCATCAGCAAACTTGCTGACCATGCACTCTATTCCCTCATCCAAGTCATTGATGAATATGTTGAACAATACAGGTCCCAGTACTGACCCTTGAGGGGCTCCACTGGATACAGGCCTCCAACTGGACTCTGTCCCATTGACCACTACTCTCTGGCTTCTATCCTTCAGCCAGTTCACAATCCACCTCACTATCCGATCATCCAGACCACACTTCCTCAGTTTAGCTGTGAGGATGCCGTGGGAGACTGTGTCAAATGCTTTACTGAAGTCAAGGTAGACCACATCCACTGCTCTACCATCATCCACCCACTGGGTGATGTCCTCATAAAAGGCTATCAGGTTTGTCAAGCACGACTTCCCGTTAGTGAAGCCATGTTGACTGCCCCTAATGGCCCTCTTATCCTTGACATGCCTAGAGACAGCCTTCAAGTTTGGTAAAATCCTACTATGCAGTATTTAACTGAAACAAATTTTATTCTTTTGAGACTTTCTTGAAGTGTTTTAAGGATATGCACGTTCACACAGACTTGATCTGAGGTAATCTTTTATTTGGGTTTGAATGCATCGTATGATCCTAAGCAACACACAGACTGGACTCAAAAAAAGAGAGAATCTTATTAACTTACTAATTTTAAAGGAAGAATCGTACAGAACTCCAGACCACGTTCACTGAATGCACAATGTGGTAGAACTTACAAAAGCATGCCCTCTTTCTAGCTGCACCTGCAGACACATCCAAGCATTCCTCCTCCTAAATCCCAAAATATTATCAAAGCGAAGCTATTAAGTGTAGAGAGCTCTCTGCCTCCTTTCCTTTCACCACAAATTTAAGACAAATATGCTCAATGCATCAGCACATGGTAGACAGCGGCCAGTATCTATCTGCATGCCATAGCAATTCAACTTTCCTCACTATGACCTTCCTCAAGTGCCCTTCAGATGTTAACTGAACAAATTCTAGTGGCAATCCACTTCCAAACACATTCTTGTCTGCAAACGCCTCCCAACACTTGATGGATGCTCTGTCAAATTAGTTGGCTAAGAAAAAAAAAAATAAATCTCAAAACATAATCCCAATCTGTTTCCCAGGGTGAAACAAAGCAAAGAGGAAGTAACTTGCTGCTGGTACGCTCTTTCTTTACTGACACCAAAACATTGTTATCAGAATCTCTATTGTACATTAGACTGTCCTATATACACATGGGAAGAAACAATCACAAATGCAGGATGAGAAATTCTGAAATACATACAGGTTTCATTAAGTGCCTTAGTAAGCTGACAGTCTGACCTTGAAGCTATGGCCAGAGGGATTACACCAAAATACACGTAAGGAATTCCACATAGCTGCTCCACAGTTTCGGGCATGTCTACGAAAAAGTCACAAATGCCACTTCGGCTGTAGTGAAAAAGAATACAACCACTTCAAAGACGACTAAGCACTGTTTCACACGTAACTTACTCATGCAGAGTTTCAGATTAAACAGCTTAAGTCTCTCTTTTCTTTTACAGAACAAAAGATTAAGCAATTGTACAAAATATGAATCCCAAACATGGTATATGGCAAAAAGATCTTTGGCATCTTGCATTCGTAGCCTGCTCTCGTTGACAAAGTTAAACTACAGAAAGAGAAACGGAGCGATACAGAAGTCTGAATCTAGAGTCACGAAGAATCTAAAAGAGTACAACCCAACACAGGATGAATTGTTGATGTTTGGAATTCACTCACCCATTTGCCTAATCCTTCAAGGTCATTCCAGTTCAAGTTCCCTTGCTTGTCCTAGCTGTTGCACGTTCCCTACTAGACAACCTTTAGATGGATTCCACTCTGATACCCCAGTCTCAACACTACTGCACCTCTTTGTATAAGAGAAAACGAGCTCTTTGTTATTGATTCAGGTAGCAAACACCAGTAAAGCCAGTACTGCTCAGCTGTTTTTCAAATGAATCATGCCTAGACAAATCTGAAGAGAGTAATCAGTTTGATGTTTACTCTCAGTGGTTTATACTCTCTTCAATATGTTGCAACAGTTACAACCCCAAAATCATGTTTCACATTTCTGAAAGACATTGGCTTAAGCGTACAGCGCTCGGAGTGTTAGCCAATATTGTAAAAAATAGGTATGGGCAGGTATCTGAACAAGTAAGTTGAAAAGTTACACATACTCTGCTAGTCTTTGAAAGAGAAGATGCATTACTGCTATCCTTACATCTGTCCACTCCAGGAGGAACACAAGATATACCTTTAAGACTAATGTGTCCCACAAAAACAGTGAATAAATATCAGAAGCTTTTTATTACTTTACTTTGTAACTAGACTATTCAAAAAAAAGGATATATCTTCATTTCGGTCAGTACTCTAGATGCAGAATGACAACACAGAAAAGCCTCTGCTCTAAGACTTGAAATCTGATGGGCTCAAACTCCTTGCTCACACTTGTTACCTTTTGCAAGCCTGAAAGTGAAATAAGCTGGAGCTTAGATAAATTTTGATTCTACTTCCCAGATCTCCTAGAATGAAACACTAAGCTAACAATCACACTTAACTATATATAAAGGATAAGAGTGATGGCACTTCAAAGTTCTGAAGATGATTTACCCAATACAAATTGTGAAACTGATCTGATCTGCACTTAGAATGCTTCTTAATTTACCAATCAATCATGGAATTAAGGTTAAATAAGCAGAGAATCAGACTCTTCTTATATGTAATGAGATACAATTCCTGTATGGAATGTACAGGAACACCACAAAGTGCAAGAACAAAGAGAAAGATGTTAGGAGAGGCACAGCTACAAAAAACTTGTCCCAAGTTTCTGATCCAAAATGATCCGTAAAAAGGTTTAAAAAGCTTTAGAACATTACCTATACACAAATCTCCTTATCTTTTTGTCCTTTAACTCTTTCACAAAAACAGCCCAAGAACTTTGTTTTAAATAACATCTCATCTTTCCTCCTCCTTCTTGTTTCTCTTACACCTTGGCACATACTTAGCTTTCCTGTTTGATCCAAACGATATTGTGCTGGCAGAAATGATCCCTGTAAGTAGCTGTGAAAAAGGTTAATATGCTGGCTTTCTGGGACGGGGTTTGGTAGCACAGGAGGGGTTGTGGAAATGGCCCCTGTAAGTAGCTGTGAAAAGCCTCCCGGCTCCAAAATTGGTTGGACAGCCTCTGGCCAGGTCAGATCCTTCTCATTTCCTCAGGCCAAGGCCAAACCAATCAGCACTTCTAGGAATGCCTTACTTAAGACAGGGACAAACGGGCCCAAAGGGAGGCTGGACCTGCACTGAAGAGAGAGTAAGATGGTGGAGGGCTGGCCCTCCAGCCTCCAGAATGGGCGGCTGCCCACACTGGGCCGTGGCTACTTGACTGGAGATGGCTGCAGCAGCGCAGCTGGGAGAGCTCCAACGCACCTCGCTCCCAGGACACCCTCTAGGAGGAGTTCGTCTTGCCGGTACTGCTGAGGTTCATTGGGAGGACTGAGATCTCAAAGAAATAGCCACGCAGACACCAAGGACAGCAAAGACCTCCCTTGCGGAGGGAGGTGTGCCGGAGCTGAGATTCCCCTGCAACTGGTGGTGAGATGGCAGTGGCCCCCCTGCCACTCATGGAGACTAACAGTGGAGCAGAGATCCATCCGCAGCCTGTGGAGAACCCCACGCTGGAGCAGAGATGCCTGTGCCTGAAGGAAGTCTAGAGAATGGTCTCTCCATGAGCTGCTGGAGGCTGACAACGAGGCAGAGAGGCATCTAAAGCCCATGGAGAACCCCATGCCAGAGCAGGTGACAGCTCCCTTAAGAAGCCGTGACTCCATGGGGAAGAAGTCTGTGCCAGAGCAATCCAACGGGTAAGGATTGCAACCTGCGGGAAGGACTCATGTTGGAGAAGTCTGCGGATTGTCCTGTGAGGAGGGGATGCATTGGCGCAGCAGGAAAAGAGTGTAAGGAGTCCTCCTCCTTTAAGAAAGGAGAAAATAATGTGTGATGAACTGACCTGCAACCTCCTTTTCCCTGTTTACCTGCCTCGCTGGGGGAGCAGGTAGAGCCGGGAAGAAGGGAGGGGTGGGGGGAAGGTGTTTTTGAGATCTGGTTTTGCTTCTTGTTACCCTCTCTGAACAAGCCGTTAACAAATTAAATTGATTTGTCCCAAAACTGAGTCTGTTTTGCCCAGGGCCATGGTCGGTGGGTGATCTCATCTGTTCTCATCTTGACTCTCAGGTCTTTTGTTACATTTTTCTCCTCTCTACATCACTGAGGGAGAGGAGCGAGCAAGTAACCTCGTGGTAGTTTAGCTGCTGGCTGGACTTTCAATGTCTTGTGTAAAGCAAATAAGTTTACTAACAGCTCACACACTTATGGAGAATATGCTGGAGTCTTTCTTTTACAGAAGAAAGAAAGAAGGAAATACTTAACTAGTATTGTCAAAGAAGGATTACCTTTAGATTACAGGATAGCATCATACATATTAACTAGGCAGCACAAAAGTTAAAAAATAATAATCAGAAGGTTCATAACTTTTAGGTTGTTAAAAAGCACATGCAATAAAATACAGAATACTGTTGGAGTGAAATTGCTATTCTTGAAGCAGCTTAGTACAGACAAATCTTACACTTGCTTGTACACAGCAGCAGCATACATGCACTGCTAACCCTTTAAAAACCGCAAATCTACAATTCTGTTCAAGTTGAAGTAACATCTCAGAAGAATTAAAATTTCTGTAGGATTTCTCTTTAAACATTTGTACTTGTAGATCCCATCCTTGATGATTACATGGCAGCAGACTTCTGAAGACAGTAGAAGGCAGGAAGTAACTAAAAAAACTGCAGTTCTACTAAAAAACTACAGTTCTATTAAAAAAGAACTCGGCAGCCAATCTGGAGCTGACAATGAACAGCCACTTCTAAGCACATAAACCTGACTCTACAAACCCGCAGGAGTGCCAACAGGACACCACCGAAGTGCATACTGCTAAGATTCTTTCTCCAGAGGCAAAGAAAAAGTGTATGAATCTTCTGAAGTCTGGCCTGGGAGAACTTCCTCCCTGCCCCCACCCAAAACCAACCCACAAGCTTTTCTGAAGTGATAGATGACAGTAATTGTATTTGCCTAAATAACCCTTACTCAAAATCACTGGGCAATTCCCTTATTTCAGAAGTATTGAATCTTAGCATAATTGAGCTACAGTGTGTAAAAGAACTAAATCCAAATGGAAAGACCCATATGGCAAACCCTTTTCATTCTGAATCAGGTGAGCACTTCCAAACAACTTTTGTCTATCAGTTCTATCCACAGAACATCCATACACAGGCACAAGGACAGGTGGCTAGGTGTAGAAATTCACGCCTATAGTGATGTTAAGACTATGAAGGGATGATCTAAGAGGTCTGCTAACCGGAAATAAGAGAGTCTGACAGAAGTGGTAATACCACCAGTGTTTTGCCCTGCCTCACCTTCCAAAGAACATTTCAATTAAATGAAGCTGACCAAAGGCATCTGCAAGATAACAGAGAATTTCGAAAGCATCAAAAATGAGCAATGGCACAAACAAAAACCTTCAGCAATCGCTCCCACATGACCATCACGTCTTTCTGATACTCGTATTCCCTGGCAAACAAACCTGGTTTTGTCTAAAGCTCTGTCATAGAACACAACCTCTTGAGAAACAGAGAAGGTGATAGTTTATTTAGATGCCCTTTCTGATCCCTGAAAACACAACTGTTTTATCACTGTGCTTCTCAGAAACCACTGGAACAATGTGCATCCTAGGCAAATCCAGACTAAGCTCTGAACTCCTTATGCAAACACCAATATACAATAGTAGTAAGCCACTAAATATCAGATGCCTATTCCGTGATGGATCTGTCAAGTCTCTCTTCAAGTGAGCTGTTGAAAACGGGGTACGCACACTCGCCAGTGAAGAAATTTTGAAGTCTGCATTTAAATAAATGGTTTGTTCCTCTTACCATTGCAGGATTCTTCAGAACAGCAATATAAGAAGTGGCGTCAAAGAATATATTGCAAGTCTGAGAAGAGGGGGACACAGTCACTGATATCAATAAATGACAGGGCCTTTTATAATTCAAAGGATGGTAAAAAAGCCTCTTTGAAGTAGGAGGCTTTCATGATTAAATCAAGAACTTCCCATGTGAATTCTTCAGCTGAAGGAAGCCTGAACAACAACTTGAAAGAACTATGAATTTACTCATTTCTCCTGCATGTGGTTGGTACTGTCAATGTTTACTGTTTTCTTCACTAGGCACCTAAGTGAATTATTTCACTGCTATCAAGGCCTGCCATCCCCCTCTCAAAAAAAAATAAATTCTATTCTACAGTCTACTGTGAGTGACATCTTATTTCAGAAATTCTTAAGAGTATTGTTCCCAGGAATACACTGCAATCCAAAACACTAGTAAGAGTTCACTAAGAGAGGTTTCCCAAACAGAAATCTGTTTCTCTCCCCCCTCCAACTGTGGTCCACAATTCAAAAGCCATTTTAGATGCTCCCTGTTCTTGAAGTCCACTAGTTTGCAAGGCAACTGTTATGTTTTTCTAATTACTGTCCATCAGCGCTAAGATAAGTAACACTACTCTATATTTATAGCTTTTCTCCAAAAAATACTATGATTAGAAGCTAGACAAGATGCCATTACATAAATTAGTTAAAACTGTGCATCAATACTCCCAGAACTGCCAACAATCTTACCACCTCACTGTAGCTGGAAACTTACAAAGTTTAGTACTGAAGAGTTTTTGGACTAAGCTGAGTATATGCCTTGCTTCAGTCTTCTGATTTACCTGAAATATGATATTAAAGAAAAAAGTTGGTATTTCTCATTTAGATGTTCCAAGCAAGCATGCTTTACTTTTTGAATAAAACTACTTCTCAGAATAAGACATGAACATGTATGTATACCACCACATTTCACAGCCTACATATACATTTAGTGCAATAAAAGCAATATTAATTATTATAATTATTATTATTAATATTCAATATGCAAAGTAACTATCATTCACAAATCACAGAACTTGATGCAAACCTAGCCCCACTTATACAAAAATGTCCTATCCTTTCTTTTCAATGATGTTTCAACTTTCAAAATGATGATCTATTTAGATTTTTTTTTTGTTAACATCTTTTCTCTCCACCTAAGTTATACTCATAAACATTTTCTCTCACCAAAAATACTTCAAGATATTTTTCATATCAAATTCCTCCTTATACCTCCTCACTAAAATCAGTGACTATGAATCTAAATAACGAAATTTTTAAAATGTTGTTCCTGCATCTAAATTGTTCTCTAACCAATTTTATTCACGATTCTAGGCAATTTACTTCTCTGTTTTACTATGCTTTTTTCAACTATGGAACGAAGGCAATCCTCATTTTTCAATGTTTTGTTGAGTTAAAGGGTTTACGGGGTTATATTCATATTTGCTACATTACTGGGCCCGTAGTTCATAGCTATTAGAAGCGCAAAAATATGTTATTAAATCAAAAGGATTTGACCATTGGTTTCTCATTTTAGAATCCGTCCCTACAGAAGCACGTATATTTTAAAAACAGAGTTTGTTTCAACTATATATGTTTTAAATGACTTACTGGTTTGTCTTTAACCACCAGGCACAAGTCACCATCACTGCTACGAGTGCCAAACCCATTCAGTGAGGATCCAACCAAAAAGAGTCTGCTTTCTGTAACAGAAGAATCACAGAATAAAAATTGGTGTGACATACCATAGTTTAACAGGAAGACAGAAACAAGAACCTGAAGAACATTCAAACATATTAAGTAATCAAATTCAAAACATACGTGGAAAAATTAGCTGGATTTCTTTCTGGAGTTCTACTCTGCAGAGCTCTTTTCTGTCCAAATCACAGGGCTGCTGCCAACATGCTTTAAATAACTCCAAAACCTGCAGACTTAACTTGACACACACATTCAAAAAGCAAAGATACAGAGAAATTAATATTCTTTTCTGCTAGAGATGCAATTACATGAAACACAGAAGACTGCACTAAAAAAAAATAAATTCAGCAGCATTTCACACAACCTATTCTATTATCTAGTTTTACTGCACTTGAATTCATATTGAACAACTCCCCTGAAGGAATTTCTGCAAAGTTTTTAAATTTAAATTTGTTCAATCTATTATAAAACGTCTATCCGCAGAAAATAATATTTGCCTCATTGGTATTTGCAGCCTTTCAGGGAAAAAGCAGTGAAAGACCAGAGATAATTTCTGCTGACTTTAATGTCAACAGTTTGCCTACCAAAAAAAGGGAAAAAAATAAATATTAAAACTGATTTAAGTTAGCTTTCTTTTTTTATCCCATGCAAACTAGTAAAGAAGTAGTCAGATCTTTGGTGGAAGCAGGTATTAAGTGTTTCTCTGTAACACTGTTATATGCTATAATCAACAGCTGTATTTATGCTAAAAGAATCTTCTCTCATGTTGGTGCAGATAAAGTGTGAAGACTGATCACCATGCTTCTTTTTTTAATTAAAAAAGAACACAAACCACAGTTCCAACTCCACTGTCCACCTAAAGACGACATCCTCTTCTATATTCTGGAACAGCTAGGACAGTAACTTTTATCTTCTTCTGAAGACAGACAAAGGACATTTTCATAGACCCATTATTGTACTTATTCAGAATGGGCTTGTCTCACATTACTAGGGTGTTTTGGTTTTTTCTTCCTATCAGGATTCTCCCCGCCCCCTCGTCATGCGACAAATGGACCATCTCTCCATTTTCTATTTCCTGGAGCAGACATATAGGTTTCCTGACATTAGTACAGAAACCAAACAACCCAAGCAAACACCACTCTACCCCCAAAAAATGCTCCAAACACCACCCCCCCATAAGGAAGCTATATAGGACCGTAGTGGCAGCTATATATATTGACATTCCTTCTAGTCACAGCTCAGTGATAGAGACCCCGTGACACTGTCAAAGAATGTTGCAGAAATTTTTGTGGTCTCCCACAGCACCACTGCACCCTGCCTACTCAGAAGGCAGATGTAAAGCACAAGCATAGAAATATTACCTGATCTTTGGTCGAAGGGAACACAGTTTTCATAGGGTCTGGAAACAAAGCATCTTGCAATGCAAGGACACATCCAGCTAAATCTGATACGTAATATGCCTGGGACTGTGGAGATTGACCTGGCATTGGGAATGAATATCTACGTTCTTCTGGTAAAGGCGCTGCTTGGTTAACTGCAGTTGTTTCAGAATGACATGAATGAAATCGCTGCCGTTTGACATCATGTGGAACTCTTTGTTCACTTTGTCTCCTAAAAATAATAATTAAAAAAATAAAAAAGAGTCAGTAATTCCTCTAGTTTGCAAGCTCCCACCTATGATTAAAAGACAGTTGCTAAACATACCAAAGCTTAAGTGACTATTTCACTAAAAGCAAGTATTCTACAGAACAAAAGGCATTCCCATTCTAGATATTAGGTGAAATAAACGCAGAATGGGAAAAGAGAACACAGAACTGCAAAAGTGCAGCTGCCCTTGAAGTGAACTGATGTAACTGCTTTATAAGAGTGTCTGTATTAACAAACTGAAACCTAAATGACAAGTTCAGTTAAGCAGGACAGCTTGAAAAGCTGGTCATACTATTCTGCTGACAACAGGTTTTTGGTTTGTTTTTTTATCAGAAGATACATACGGACTCTGTAAGGGTAGTTTTCTTTGAAATCAACGTGACTGCAGTGAGAAGTTTTGTGGATTCTGAGTACCCAGTGATTAATAAAATAAATTCGGTAGCGGGGAGGGGAGAAGAAACTTATCACAATAGTCATACAAAATGTAGTGTTTGTCAGTGTCTTAGATTGTACAGACAGTAAACTGTAATCTAGGCAAAAAAGAAACACTATTCATTTGACAAATTGAACTAATGATTGTATTAAGCTACACAGGTCATAAACCTACAATGCCTCACTTTCAGAAACTTGCCTGTGTCTCCCCATTAAGTCATTTGTCACAGGAATTCAAATATATCTGAAGAGATACAGTGATCTTACGGACAGCCCCTTGGCATCTGAACTCTTCATTAAGAAAACGTTGTACTGAAAGCCGATCAGTCACTGAATACTGCGGTCTATCCACAGCAAAGAATAAGAGAGGACATTCATGTTTTGTTTATATGTCAAGTATTGCATAAAGTTAACCAGTATGAGGGTACTCACACATTTTTTTTAATTAAAAAGCATGAAATCAAGTTCTCGTATTTATCAACGAATTAGCTATTAATTATAGTCATTTCTTGTAGTCAGAAAAGCTGGCATCAAAGTAGTTTGGGGAGCTGGACAGATAGTATTATTAACAGCAAAAATTTAACTGAAGAGACAAGTCATCATTTCAGTTTTCAGTCTCAGAGAAGTTCTGATTACATTCCCGACAATCTTAAAGGAACTCCTAACATTAAATCGAAACATGTTTCAGCCTATTTTGGCTGAGAAGAACTTGCATGAACCCGTGTTCAGTAAAAACACCTTAAGAAGGTCAACTCAAGATCTAAGGATTAACTAGTTGACTGCAAATCACAGAATCATAGAATCATAGCACGGTTAGGGTTGGAAGGGACCTCAAAGATCATCTAGTTCCAACCCCCCTGCCATGGGCAGGGACACCCTTCACTACACCAGGTTGCCCAAAGCCTCATCCAACCTGGCCTTGAACACTTCCAGGGATGGGGCATCTACAGCTTCTCTGGGCAACCTGTCCACTGCCTCACCACTGTCTGAGTGAAAAATTTCTTCCTTACCTCCTAACACAGCATAGCTTTCTATAAACCAGACTGGTCAAGAGGAAATCATGCATTCAGGATGAAACTGGGAACTTCTTTAGTTCATGTGATAGTTATATACTCAACTATAACTTAATACCTTATATTTAATTGTACTTATTTTCTCATCTGTTAAATCTGAAGAGAAATAGCATACAGGAACTAGTTTTGAAGACAGATTACATTAAGCCTCCTCTCTATCAACTGATTTACAGAATTATTACAAACATGTATCAACTACAATTTCTGAACTGAAAAAGAGAAGTGTTCTTTTTCTAGAATGTTAAAAGAAAATAAAACCATACATTCATCTGCAATTCCTCTTTTTGATACAACTACAGTAACAAAGGAAATTATGCAAATTCAGGTTAGTTTAGTTTTCTGAAAAGTACAAAAACCGTGTTTCCTTAAAATTCCTCTTAAAAAAAGAACTTACATATGCTTGAATATAGCACTTTCTATTTGAAAAATAAAGCATCACATAATTAAGAAAATCAGGAGGAAAATCTAGTGTGTCATCAGAAAAACATCACAGTTGAAGATGCAGTCTTAACTTGACAAATTAACAGGAAAAGAACACTCAATTTATTGACACAAACCCTCTTAGAGTCAAGGACACACAGACTACAATATATTACAGTATTAAAACAAAACACATTAAGTCACAGTTCTGTAAGGCTACAGCTGTTGGAAGAGAAAAACTACACACACTAAGTCACTTACGAGTACGAAAATTCCCCAAAGCAGGTACATGAACGCTTTAAAGAGCCATGACATGGCCTGTTTCATCAAAAACCATTTTATTTCGTATTCTTGCAATTTCTAACAAAATTCAAGTTGCACAAGAAGTTGGTATTAGACAAGCTCCACTACGGGTACATTAAAACCAGAATTAATCACTAACACACAAATGACTTACTTTCTTCCTCGGAATAACATGGGGTCATCAGACGTACGTATCGGACTGCCATTTCCATAAGTCGTTGGCTGTGGTGTAAGAGCTGGAACACTTGCAAAATTCCTGCTCAAGAAAGCCCTGGAAAGACAACAGTCTATAACTGTTATTCACATGATAACTAAGATACTTTTGACGAGTGGGCAGTTTTTTCTTAAGTGAATATGAAACTCAGCAAGTCCTGTCATTTTTTTCTATAGAAGTAATACATCTTGTCTTCTCTTTCCAAAAAGAAGTGATATTTCAGTACATAATGTATTTTCTCAAAAAAAATAGAAAATGGTCATTCTTCACAGCACATGTATAGAAGAAGTTGGCAAACAAATTAACTTAAGGTATTGTTAAATTTAAGAGCCTAAAGAACACAATGGCATCTTCGAATCTAGCTCCCAAAATAAATGTCTCTTCCTCTTCTCATCTCCTCCCCATTTACCCACTAAACAAACACAACTGAAGATATTTAAAACACAACTGTGGACTATCAACTCTAATCAGTGCAATGGTATCTCATGTATCATGCAAAACACAGGAGAGCATTAAAACTCGCAGCTCTGCTTTACTTGACATCTTCCTACTTTTTAAAGTGTAACGCGGTTTAATGTTAAAAACAGTGAAGACATCCTTCATAAGCAGAAATACTTCTTTCCAAAGACCAGCAACTCTCTTTTTCAACCCAATCCCCACTATCAAATCTTATTGTACTTACAGCATATTCTGAAAATAAAAATGACCATCAATAATTCGCCGGTGAGAGGCAACAGTAGGTGACGCATTTAGAGGAGGTTTACTAAAGAAATTCCTCTGTTGTTGATGTTTTGGACGGAAGGATGGATGACCCAAGTTAGAGGAATTTGGGAACATGGTCCTTTCTACTTGAAGTGAACATGTATCTCTTTACCTACATTAAGAAAAAAAAAAATAATCAAAATTACACAACAAGAAATACTAGTTACCATTTAAACTCTTGGTTTAAAAATTCACATAATCTAGAATATACTTCCAGAAATTGCTTAAAAGAATTGTGATTCTGGACTAATTTGACCTCCTTTCAGGACAAGACACTAAATAAAAATACTATATACTCTTAAGTTTCATAATTACTACTTTCTTCATTTATGTTTAAAAGTGAATTTTTATTTGCTCTGCCCTATTTTAATTTTTGAAAACTTACATGACAAAAGACAGAAGAGTTTTCATCTCAAGGAAAAGTAATGTATTACAGTGGAACATGTTTCTTATTTCAAACATTCCACAATGAGGTTCACAATACATGGGAAGAAACACTTGATTACATCGTAAGAACGCAAAGATGCAGCTGATGACGAACCATAAGTAAAACTAATTTTATGTTCCCTCAATTACCAAACTGAAAAATAAAAGAATAAATATATGTACAAAGTTGTATTAACAGTTACATGAATAGGCATTCTCTCATACACTCAAATAAAATTAATTATTCCTAACTTTACTGTAGCAAGGTCTCACTGTTACCATAGCCTTGAGGTGTTCTCTCACCTACCACTATGCACTGCTGTCATGTTTTAACCTCCTCAGACAGCTCCAACTGTGACTGCAGGCAGCAGTAGCATGGAACATAGACATCTAAATACCAAGGAGTTTATTTGCTCAGGTTTGACTTCGTTCCTTACTTCCTGTGATGACAACCCACGCTAGTGAAAATCCAGCACTACCTACATGGACATTGCTGCACTAGCTCCAAGAAAAAGCTGCCAAGATAATGCTCTCACAGTTATTTCTCTTTCTTTTTTTTTTTGGGGGGGGGGGGAGGGAGGAGAAGCATTATGTATCAATGAAAGTTATTTTTTGCGATGTTTACTTTCGATTCTGCAGAAGAAACAAAACCGAATTGCAAGACGAGAGTCGCATGACGTTTACATTTAACCCAAACTACATCTCTGTGCAGATGTGTTACTGTATCTAAACTTTACCGTTCCCAGTACAGACAGGCGAGGTAACAACTGCTGACACACCTCCTTCCCCTCTAAGCAGCCCAGGCACTCTTGGCCTCCGTTTGATGACGGTATGACATGGCAGAGTACACATGAGCAGTTTGCGAATATAACCGACCAGTCGCAGACCGCGTGTCAGAACTCAAGACCGAGTCGCAAAAGCAACACGCCCCTTTTAGTCTCTGAAGTTGCAAATACCCCAAAGAGATGCTGTAAATACCCGAAGGAGCCACCCGCCCCCGAACCGAACCAACGCGGTGCAGCAGCGCTGCTGCCTCTTACCGCACCTCTCGGCAGAGATTACCTCGGCGGAACTGCCAGGCTCTCCAGAAGGAGTTTCGTAATCGGTACCGTCCAGGCACACTCGTCGCAGTGGGAATTTTTCCGACCAGGCGCGTGCTTCTGGGGGAAGCCCACGAGCAAACGCCGACGCGCCTCCCGAGCGGA